CGATGCATTTTTGCCTTTCAAATCAGCAATCGCATGCTCCATTGAAAATGAACAATATGCAATTACGTAATGTTCAGGTAACAAAATTCCTAGGTCTCTCAATTCAGTCAAACCTCAAATGGAATGTACATATAACAAAATTAAACCCTAAATTAAGTTCATTATGATACGGATTCAGGATTCTATCAAATTATTTTCCTTCATGCAGCTCGTTGCGTGTATTTTGTAAATGTACATTCCCGCCTGATATATGGCACAATATTCTGGGGAAACGCATCATGTAGTACTCAGACCTTTAGATTGCAAAAGAAAATTATTAGAATAATGAAAAAATGTCACCCGCGTGATACCTGCAGGACTCTTTTCATTGAGCTTGGAATCGAACATCGTACTTAACGGTGGGAACATATTTTCGTACAATACAGATATTTATAATTACAACACACGTCGTAAAAATCACGTTCAACAAATGTCAGTATCAACAGTTCGCTATCAGAAATCCACATACAATACATGTACGTTACTTTACAACGCATGGGCAAATGACATTAAACAACTGAAGTCGATTCACAAATTTAAGTTGAAAGTAAAATCTTTTCTGCTGCATAACAGTTTCTATACAATTAGAGACTATACTGATAATCGAAAAGAAAAATAATGTTTATTTTAACAAAACAGCGATATATTGAATTAGTTTACATTTGATTTGCATATTTTAAAAAATACTTAATGTTTTTAACATAATGTACTTCAGCTTCCGGGTCAATGACTCCCATCTCAACAGGTTTTTGTCCAGTTTTCCTGATCCATTATCAAATGCTGAGATGGCACCTTGTTTTGCTTCTAGACGTAAATGTAGCTTCTCTACGCGCACGTTTTGTTGAACTCTCTTGTAATGGTAGGAGTAGAGGTAAGGGCGAGTTACTATTTTGTTAGCAATACAGAAAAATCATACCTGTAATTCGTTTTTGAATTGAATTGATGCCTTACTTTTACGTGGCGATACTCTGGCCATCAGGCCCGCTCTTCAGTCTGACCACGCAAATTTCGCTACGCTCCTTTCACCAACTAGCGGAGATAGGAGGCATTGCTTGAGCGACGAAACTTGCGATTTGAATTTAGCTCAGAGGCGTCATTTAGGCTTGAGGATCTTTTATATGGGACAGCCGGCTTTACTTCCCTTCCGAAGGAAGGCGTACGAAGCATTTCTTCGCCCTTAAAAATCCACGGCGCCGATCAGGTTTGAATCCGCCAACTTGGGTATAACAGTCCGATACGCTGACCATTACAGCATCGCCGCTGCCGAATGCAAGTGTTTTCTATTTCTAGCGAATGTCTAGTTTTTTTTAAATTACTAATATCGTGCTTTTGTAAAATTTATTTTTATTTATTTTTTTTATTTTAACCTTTTATTTATCTTTCAACTATTTATTGTTAAAATGATGGAAAGGGATTCTGGAACTCAAGAAAACGTGCGCAGATGATCTTCTCCCTCATACGTCACGTACAGTTTTTACTGTTTTTATGACTAAATAAATCTAAAGCTAATCTAAATCTAAAACTCTAGAGTTGTGCAATATTGACAGTCGGTCGGCCGACCTGCCGACCACCGACGGTTGCTCAGTGATCGGATAAACGATGTCAAATAAGTGAAGCAGAGCACACGCCTGGGTAGAATGGTTTAGCTCGCAAATTTAATGTTCGTGTTCAGACACATAAAATTCATATAGGAACCAAATTTCAAAACTACACCAAAACTTTCCCTTCTTTTCGGCCATTTGACTGGACTAATACGTGTGCTTGGTGTCTTCCAGCCGCAGGCGCTGAGGGAGCCATCTTTACCCTAAGTACTTTGTCGACCAGCAGCATCGAGGAGGTAGCGGCGGCAGCCCCCGATACCGTCAAGTGGTTCCAGCTCTACATTTACAAAGACAGGTACTCCAGTACATGTGTCTTAAACTTCATGCGATTTTGGAGGTTATGGGA